AAAGGTTTTGTGTGCGAGGGGCTTGGACTTCCAGCAAGCATGCATGAGCACATTTGATACGAGTGAATGGAGACAAATAGTTTTTAATACTTGATGTGCTGTTGGAGTGTGAGCAAAGTAACATTTATGAAGGGATTCAGGGAAACCGGCAGGCCAGACTTGAGTCCTGGAGATGGGAAGTACAGTGTCTACACTCTGAAGGAGGGGTTTTAATGTTGCAGTTTTATAACTAGCATAAAGCACCCCTCTGGCAAGACAGTGATGGAGTGAATGATGATGAAAGATTTTCTTTTTCGGGCCACCCTGCTTTGGTGAGAATCGGCCAATGTGTTAATAAAAAAAAATTAAAAAATTGTAGCAATTATATATATATTTTTAGTTGGATTTTAAGCCAGGTGACTGCATGTTAGTTATCATCTGGCAAAGGCTCTTATCAACAGAGCCATGTCCGTTTTGTGTGTGTGCATGCACACGTTTGTATGTACATACAGTGAAACCTCTCATTAATGGATTTCAGACAAAAAAAAAATTGGCCAGACACATTAAAAGCAGTGGATCTTGACAGAGTCACCAGGGATTCTGCAAGAGAGAGCAGGAGCACTATATGAACCTATAGCTATGATCTACAAGTCACTGTCCACAGGATAAGTGCCAAAGATCTGGAAGACAGCAAACATAGCAGATATAGAATACATAGAACACTTTTAACTCGGATATAAACCCTCCCCTCAAACGTCTCCTTACCAACCTCAAAAGAACACGTGACCATAACACAAGGCACAGATCACTCTTTGATGTTCCTCGTGTCCATCTCACACTATGCAAAAACTCAATGCACATAAAAGGCCCAAAAATCTGGAATTCATTACCTGTGGATATAAAAGAAACACTGTTTATATATTCAAGTCTCCACTTAAAAATCACCTACTCACCCACAACTAAATAAATACTGAATAATTGTATCTCATAAATGTTTAACCTGTTACCCAATGCACAGCAACACAGTAAATGACCTAAATGACCATATGACCTGTCTTTGAAATACTCATTGTCCTTAACTTTTATCTGTTTACAATAATGTTTACCACTGAATATATCATTGTTTAGTTAATCTTAAGTTAATTTTAAGCCTGCCCATAATGCTCTGCATACAAGGGGCTTTGGCATGTTACACTTAACCACTGTATTTTTTTGTACTTCAATGTATCATGTTCAAATTAATAAATAAATAAATATATTTAACCCTTTGGGGGTTTCGGACGTACTAATACATCTTACGGCCCAGGGTTTTTGACGTACCAGTACGCCTAAATTCTAGCACCCTCAGATCTAGTGAGAGAAACCTGGTAGGCCTACATATGAAAGAATGGGTCTATGTGGTCAGTGTGCTCAGTATAAAAAAATCCTGCAGCACATAGTGCGTAATGAGAAAAAAAACTTTGACCGTGTTTTTGGATTAAAACAGCGACTTTGCACTGTATTTTCGTATGGTATTTATTGTTGTATTCTAGTTTTCTTAGTCTCACTTTATAGAATGGAAGACATATTACAGAAATTGAGATGATTTTGACTGGTTTTACAATGAAAAGTACCTTGAAATTGAGCTCAAAGTAGCAGAAATGTTCGATTTTTACCGAAGTACAAAAGTAAACAAATCATGCAAAGCATCCAATACACATCAACTGGTGAGTCTAATATACTTTCACAAGTGTGCTGATATTATTTATACCATTTCTACACTAATGCAGTAGTCTGCATAACAGTAAATCTTATTTATTTTGTGAGAATAAAAATTCAAAGTGGAAAGCAAAAGAAATATAAGAGGGGCCTGGAGATGTGACTAACGAACAGAGAACTTGTTATTTTAGTGCCAGGAATGTCTTTCTTGTTTATTTTAGACCCTATTCGGAAATTGGCATCTTTGGAATATGTGTGAAATTGGCAAAATTGCTAAATTCTGACCACTGTATTGGATAGTTGAAATCGGTAAATGGGTGGTTTCTTGTACTCATTCGATAGAAAAAATGGAGTTCTAGCAAAATAGTTACGATTTTTGTCGACTAGTACACTGGAATTGGCTGAAAATACGGCTCAAAGTGGGCAAAATTGCCAATGCGTAAACATCGTCAAGACAGCTAACTTCGCGAAAGCATAATTCCGTAAGTTGTCCATCAAATTTCATACTTTTGGTGTTGTTATGATCGAGAAAAGATTCTCTATCTTTCCATAAGAAAAAATCATTTTTTTTTTTTTTGAAATTTGGCCGACCCTAAGAACAAGTCTCTGAGAGGACCTGTCGACCCCCAAACGGTCAACCCTTTCAGGGTCCAGAGGCCAAAAAAAAATTTCAAAGTGTGCACCAGTGTCCAAGAATTTTCAAAAAATAATTTTGTTATTTTTTCTTATGAAATGGTAGAGAATCTTTTTCTGAAGGTAATAAAACAAAAAGTACGACATTTGATGGAAAATTGACGAAATTATGCTCTCGCGAATTTTGATGTGTCAGCGATATTTACGCTGACCAAATTCTTAGCTATTTCACTAGTAATACTTCTATTCTGTCGATTGAGCACAAGAATTCGCCAAGTCAACTGTTTCAACTACAAAATAAAGTGATCAGAAATTGGTAATTTGGCCAATTTAATGCAAAGTTCAAAATACTCCAATTTCAAAATAGGGTCCAGAATAAACAAGGAAGGCATTCCTGGCACTAAACTAACATTTCCTCTGTTCATTAGTTATATTTTCAGGCTTTACTATTGAATTCCATTTTGATTTTTTATTCACATAATGAATTTTTGTTCAGACAAAAAATAGAAGATTTACTGTTACGCAATATTGTAATAATTGTATAAATAATATCACCACATTTGTGAACGTATATTAGACCCACCAGCAGACGTGTGAGGTCATTTGTTTACTCTTGAACATCGGCAAAAATTTAACATTTCCACTACTTTGAGCCCAGTTTCAAGCCATTTCCAGTAATAAAACCAATTAAAATCATCTCTATTTCTGTAATATATCTTCCATTCTATCAAATGAAACCAACGCAAATACAACTATAAAAAACACACACAAAAAAAAAAACTTCGAAGTCACTGTTTTAATCGAAAATTACGGTCTCAGTTTTTTTCCTCTCATTATGCACCGTGTGCTGCAGGATTTGTTTTATGAGGTGCACACATACCACATAGATGTATTCTCTCACATCTAGGCCAAAATTTACCACTCACAGTTTATCAGAGTGAGCTGAGCTCAGGACGTAGATCTATGGTTTGGACCCTCAACGTAAAGCCGTAGATCTATGGCACGGACCACTTAAAGGGTTAAGGAAGTCTTGAGATAGGCAGGAGACGCTAAACTACAGTCCAGTTTTACTGACAAGTATACCATGCATGGTAATGGAGACTATAGTCAGGAAGAGAGTGGTAGAGCACTTGGAGAGATGTGGATTTATAAACAACAACCAGCATGGGTTCAGAGATAGCTACTCTTGTCTAACCAACCTCTTGGAATTTTATGACAAGGTAACAGAAGTGAGGCAGGAGTGATTATGTTGGGTGGATTGCATTTTCTCAAGACTGCAAGAAGGCATTTGACACTGTACCTTACACAAGACTGGGGCAAAAACTTGAGAACAGGCAGGAATAACCAGGAACGTACTTCCTTTCCTTAAGGAGTACCTTAGGGAAAGGAAGTAAAAAGAGCGATTGTCTGGGAAAGAGTAACAAGGATTGTACCACAAGGATTAATTAGCATTTGGACTAGTACTGTTTCTGGTTTATGCAAATGACACCAGAAGGAATCGAGTCAGATGTACTATATTCACTGATTATGTAAAAACCAATGGGGGAAAATACAGACAGATGAGGACAGGGATAGGCTGCAAAAGAATCTTGGCCAATAAGAGGCTGCTTAACTTCAACCGAATCTGGTCCAATAAGTGTGCTTGAATTCAACCCCAGCAAATGCAAGGTTACAAAGTTTGAGGAAGGGGCCAGGAGACCAGACACAGGGTACAGACTCAGGAAGGAAAGAAGCTGCTAACCTCATTCAGTGAGAAGAAAAAACCTGGGAGTATGAATAGTGCCTGCCATATCACCAGAGGCTAACATCAACCGAAAAATCTCTTACAAGAATAATAATTATTATTATATTTAGAAGTCATACAGCACTTGGGGAATGGAAGGCAATCAAGTTTAAGCCATGGGGTGAATAGGCACGATTCCTTGGATCAAAAGCCCCTCACCAGCATATAGGAACCTCCCTTGAAGGACCATTTATATGAATAATTTTCATATTACTGTTATTACAGTACTGGACATGTAGGGAAAAGTACTTAATCAGCAGATAATAATATAATCAAGTTATGCACTAAACCTGAAAGGGTCAAACAGTACTTAATCTGCAGAGATCTTACCTCACCCTTGGGAATGGGAGGCAATCAGGTTTAATCCAAGGAAGGGGGTTTATATCAAATTTTTGTAATCAAGAATCCCTTATCATTATGAAGGAGCCTTCTGTGAGGGATGAGATTGGAAAAGAGGGTGAAGACGTACAGAGTTAACTTAGCTTCTTGCAAATGTTAGACTTGAGACACAATGACTCTTGACACCCCGCAGGGTGTGAATTATATTAAAAACAAACATTAAAAGAATCTAGGTAACAGGAGGTAATCAGATTTGATCTGAGGAAGGGGAGGGGTAGTTTAACTTCCTTGGATCAAGAGGCTTACACCAGCTTCAAGGCATCCCCCACTGCAGGATGTTATGTATAGAGATTTTGATTATCTTGTGTGCCTCTCAAAGAAGATTTTGTGATACTAGTGAGGAGCTCTTGAATTGTGATGTCAACACACTTCTGGAAAGACAAGAGATTGAATGATGGTGAAAGTGTTTCCTTCTTTGGGTCACCCTACCTAGACAGGAGATAACCACTGAGGAAAAATAAAAAAATCTTGTATGGCTATAATTAGTGTTTCTATTTTTCTTTCACAGTTGCAAATAAATGGATTCGTGAGCACAAGAATTTTCTTCGTCGGCCTTGCAGTACCAATCCCGAGGAATGAGATAAATACATTAACCTTTAGACTGTCCAAACGTATATCTATGTTTGCGCGCGTAGTGCTCTGCCCTTGATTGTCTCCATAAGAAACAATGTAAAAAAAAAATAGAGCCACGTTCGGAGCACTACGCAAGCAAACATAGATCTACGTTTGGACAGTTTAAGGGTTAAATAAAAGAAGCCTAAATATAATTATGGCTACTAATAACTCATTTTACATGTACATTAACAGAATACTTTAACCCTGAAAAATAGGGATTAAAGTAAATAACATATATGTACCCTGAAAAATAGGGATGACAGTAAATACTAACATGTATATGTACCAAGATAAATATACCTCTGGATGCACTTACATAACTTGCTTTGTTTTACTGTTACTTCACTTTCTCAACTCATTATTTTTTACATTTTTATTAACACATCAGCTGTTTCCCGCCAAGGCAGGGCGATCCAAAAAAGAAGAAATACTTTCATTATCATTCACTCCATCACTGCCTTATTATGAAAATAAAATCACTCAAGTTAAATATACTATAATATTATACTTCCAGCAAGCGTGCGTGAACGTGTTCGATAGGAGTGAATGGAGACGAATGGTATTTGGGACCTGATGAGCTGTTGGAGTGTGAGCAGGGTAATATTTAGTGAAGGGATTCAGGGAAACCGGTTATTTTTATATAGCCGGACTTGAGTCCTGGAAATGGGAAGTACAATGCCTGCACTCTAAAGGAGGGGTTCGGGATATTGGCGGTTTGGAGGGATATGTTGTATCTTTATACGTATATGCTTCTAAACTGTTATATTCTGGACACCTCTGCAAAAACAGTGATTATGTGTGAGTGAGGTGAAAGTGTTGAATGATGATGAAAGTATTTTCTTTTTGGGGATTTTCTTTCTTTTTGGGTCACCCTGCCTCGGTGGGAGATGGCTGACTTGTTAAAAAAAAAATTATACTTTTCATTTTCTTTTACTCTTGTTCTGTTTACTAATCATTTAAATATAGATGTCTACTCCTTCATTTGACAGAAAAAGATAATGGAGGTTATGCCATTTTATTTATGCCATAACCCACATACGTATTGTCTTATTTGTGTAATGTAATTATTGTCCGCTTACAATATCAAATACAGGTACAGGTCAGCCATTACTAATCCGGCATCACTGGGACCTGTAGGGTGCCGGATTAGTGATTTTGCTGGATCACAACATGGTTAGGTTAGAATACACTTAACCCAATAGCTAGCCACATCATCCTTCCTTTAAAACACCCCATAAATCAGTACAAGTTGGTTAATAAAGTTAACCAACTTGACTTACACAAGAAAGTTCATCACTGCCACTTCCAAAGTGAAGAGCTGAAATTTACAACTAAGCACATTTAGTAGTAATGTTGGTAGATTTACTGACAATATGTTAGGTAAAAAGACAAGTGCAACTACTGACATTCTATTGTGGCAATACTTCGCTCTCCAGGTAATGGCTTGACAAAGCTCCTGGAGAGCGAAACATTCCCACAATAAAATGTCGCATTAGTTGCACTTGTCCTTGTACCTAACATAAGCACATTTACATGTCTTGAGGTGAAGGGCTGTCAGGACTGCTAAAAGTGAGCAGGTTATAACAATAAATGGAAAAAAGCAAATTGGAATGGCTTGCCTGTGTTTGCAAGTGATGCCAACAATGTTGAAGCAGCAAGTAGCGCCATCAAACAGTAGTGGCAGGATGGTGTGGCGACCCGGGAAATTTGAAATTACGCTAGCCGAAAACAGTGCCAGATTAGTGATGGAACTAGATTAGTGACTGCAGGATCAGTGATGGCTGACCTGTACAGTAATTTAAGTCTTTGTATGTTCTGTCTATCTGTTTTATAGTACATGTAATAAAATCACTGTTCTGTACTGCTTCCATATCAATAAAAAATAATTGTTATAGACTGAACTATGCTATTTCATTTGATGGAGAGTTAGCCCATTAATTTGCTTCCTTCTCTTAGTATACAGTTAATTATCATGTGCTGAAATTGTTGTATCTCTTCATATTTTTATTATTATTTTTTAACACTAGCCATTTCCCACCCAGGCAGGATGGCCAAAAAACAAAACAAAACACACTCCATCACTGTCTTGCCAGAGGCATGCCAATACTGCAGTTCAAAAACTGCAACCTATCCCCAACCTATTCCCACCTCCAGGACTCAAGTCCTGCTAACTAGTTTTCCTGAATTCCTTCACAAAATGTTACCTTGTTCACACTACAATAGCTTATCTTGAACCTACATTATTATTATTATTATCACACTGACTCATTCCCACCAAGGCAGGGTGGCCCGAAAAAGAAAAACTTTCACCATCATTTACTCCATCACTGTCTTGCCAGAAGGGTGCTTTACACTACAGTTTTTAAACTGCAACATTAACACCCCTCCTTCAGAGTGCAGGCACTGTACTTCCCATCTCCAGGACTCAAGTCCGGCCTGCCGGTTTCCCTGAACCCCTTCATAAATGTTACTTTGCTCACACTCCAACAGCACGTCAAGTATTAAAAACCATTTGTCTCCATTCACTCCTATCAAACACGCTCATGCATGCCTGCTGGAAGTCCAAGCCCCTCGCACACAAAACCTCCTTTACCCCCTCCCTCCAACCTTTCCTAGGCCGACCCCTACCCCGCCTTCCTTCCACTACAGACTGATACACTCTTGAAGTCACTCTGTTTCGCTCCATTCTCTCTACATGCCCGAACCACCTCAACAACCCTTCCTCAGCCGTCTGGACAACAGTTTTGGTAATCCCGCACCTCCTCCTAACTTCTAAACTACGAATTCTCTGCATTATATTCACACCACACATTGCCCTCAGACATGATATCTCCACTGCCTCCAGCCTTCTCCTCGCTGCAACATTCATCACCCATGCTTCACACCCATATAAGAGCGTTGGTAAAACTATACTCTCATACATTCCCCTCTTTGCCTCCAAGGACAAAGTTCTTTGTCTCCACAGACTCCTAAGTGCACCACTCACCCTTTTCCCCTCATCAATTCTATGATTCACCTCATTTTTCATAGACCCATCCGCTGACACGTCCACTCCCAAATATCTGAATACATTCACCTCCTCCATACTCTCTCCCCCCAATCTGATATCCAATCTTTCATCACCTAATCTTTTTGTTATCCTCATAACCTTACTCTTTCCTGTATTCACTTTTAATTTTCTTCTTTTGCACACCCTACCAAATTTATCCACCAATCTCTGCAACTTCTCTTCAGAATCTCCCAAGAGCACAGTGTCATCAGCAAAGAGCAACTGTGACAACTCTCACTTTATGTGTGATTCTTTATCTTTTAACTCCACGCCTCTTGCCAAGACCCTCACATTTACTTCTCTTACAACCCCATCTATAAATATATTAAACAACCACGGTGACATCACACATCCTTGTCTAAGGCCTACTTTTACTGGGAAATAATTTCCCTCTTTCCTACATACTCTAACTTGAGCCTCACTATCCTCGTAAAAACTCTTCACTGCTTTCAGTAACCTACCTCCTACACCATACACCTGCAACATCTGCCACATTGCCCCCCTATCCACCCTGTCATACGCCTTTTCCAAATCCATAAATGCCACAAAGACCTCTTTAGCCTTATCTAAATACTGTTCACTTATATGTTTCACTGTAAACACCTGGTCCACACACCCCCTACCTTTCCTAAAGCCTCCTTGTTCATCTGCTATCCTATTCTCCGTCTTACTCTTAATTCTTTCAATAATAACTCTACCATACACTTTACCAGGTATACTCAACAGACTTATCCCCCTATAATTTTTGCACTCTCTTTTGTCCCCTTTGCCTTTATACAAAGGAACTATGCATGCTCTCTACCAATCCCTAGGTACCTTACCCTCTTCCATACATTTATTAAATAATTTCACCAACCACTCCAAAACTATATCCCCACCTGCTTTTAACATTTCTATCTTTATCCCATCAATCCCGGCTGCCTTACCCCCTTTCATTTTACCTACTTCCTCACAAACTTCCCCCACACTCACAACTGGCTCTTCCTCACTCCTACAAGATGTTGTTCCTCCTTGCCCTATACACGAAATCACATATATACAATAAATAAATAACCCAGGAAAACCCAATACATGTACAGTCAAACAGTGTGACTTATTTTCATATTTTGAGGAGTATTACTTCTTGAAATAACTATAATATTATAAGTATTCCTTGTACATAGTGTTGGAAGACCAAAGTAGTAGAAAAATCAGAATTAAAAAATTATTTCATATATATATATACTGTATATACTGCATTTTCCCATGTTGGAAGTCCTAGAACATCTTTAACCCTTTGACTGTCGAGACCCCTGCTCACAAATTTGCTCTCAGTGTCGAAGAATTTAAAAAAAAGAAATTATTTTTCTTATGAAATGATAGAGAATCTTTTCCCTATGGTAATGACACCAGAAGTACGAAATTTGATTGAAAACTTATGGAATTACGCCCTAGCTAAGTTAGCGATCTCGGCGATACTTATGCATCGGCGATTTCGCCCACTTTGAGGCCTATTTTCGGCCAATTCCATTGCTCCAGTCGACCAAACTCATAGCTATTTCTTTAGAACTCTATTTGTTCTATCGACTGAGTGCAAGAAACCACCCATTTACCGATTTCAACTACCAAATAAAGTGGTCAGAAATTTGCAATTTGGCCAATTTCATGCAAATTAAAAAAGATGCCAATTTCAAAATAGGATCCAGAATGAACAATGCAGACATTCCTGGCACTAAAATAACATTTTCTCTTTTCATCAGTCATGTCTCCAGGCCCCTCTTATATTACCCTTGCTTTCTATTTTGAATTTTTATTCACACAAAAAAATAGATTTACTGTTATGCAGACTACTGCATTATTGTAATAATTTTATAAATACTGTCAACCCATTCGTGACTGCATATCAGAATGGCTAGTTGGACACTTATTGGACAATGACATTATTTGTTTACTCTTGAACATCGGCAAAAATCGAATATTTCCACTACTTTGAGCTCAATTTCAAGGTTCTTTTCATCA